ATAACCAGTAAACCTTATACTGAGGTGCATGATTCACACAAGCGTTACGTGTTACGTACAGATGCTTCTGATGTTGGGATTGCAGCAGTCCTGTTACAAGGTCATGATGGAAAGTTATTCCCTGTGAGTTATGCTAGCAAGAAGTTGTCACAAAGAGAAAAGGCATATTCGACTATCGAAAAGGAATGCTTGGCGATCGTGTGGTCTGTAAAGAAGTATATGATGTATTTGTATGGAACCCAGTTCATTCTCCAGACAGACCATCAGCCGTTATTGTATGTTGACAAGGCTAAATTCATCAATGACAAAGTAATGCGATGGGCAATGTTTCTGCAGAACTACCGATTTACCGTTGAATGTATTAAGGGCTCAGATAACCATGGAGCTGATTTTCTAAGTAGAGCAGTTTAAGGACTATGTAACAGAATTCATGTGCTGTGCAGAAACTTTATAAGTTTCCTCTTGAAAGGGGAGTGATGTCATGAATTCTTATTATTTATTCTTACATTAATTTGCATAAGTGGTTTTACGAGGTGCGCCCTCTGTGGCAGGAGGAAAACACTCAGCTGGTGGCTAAGATGGCGGAGTAGCTAGCGAGGACTGATGGTGAGTGATCTGTCGTGCTGGTTTTGTTATAGCGTTCTGTGACACATATATATGACTTAATGCCATTTACATCTTGTAAAAAAGAAAAACAAGTGCGTGAATTTGACGTCAATGTTATGTAACATGTCATGTAACAAATGCAAATAAAATAACAACAAATTTTAAGCCAAAATTTTAGGAGCACTTGTCATTGCATCAACTGCTGTGATGGCCGAGTTTTTAAGGAGTTGGACTTGAAATCCAATGGGGTCTCCCCGCGCAGGTTCGAACCCTGCTCGCAGCGAATGTTTTAGAACACCTCGTTGAGCCGCTGTATACATAATTGGCCGTAGATCAACCGCAAGAATGAATGCGAATTATGAAAATGATTCGCTTTGGCACCAAGTTTTAATTATACATATTGTCATGAATTCTTATTATTTATTCTTACATTAATTTGCATAAGTGGTTTTACGAGGTGCGCCCTTTGTGGCAGGAGGAAAACACTCAGGCGGTGGGTAAGATGGCGGAGTAGCTAGCGAGGACTGATGGTGAGTGATCTGTCGTGCTGGTTTTGTTATAGCGTTCTGTGACATATGGGGGCTCGTCCGGGATCTTGTTTTCTTGCGTTATAGGGATCCTGTGGTATTTTATTTATGTTTCTTGAATTTCAAGTGCTGAAGTTAAGCCAGAAAATTTTGAGAAAATTCGCGAACATGTGCTTGCCCCCCCCCCCCGAGGTATAGATAGCAAAAAAAAATTATCATGTTTTTCAGGCGATAATTTGATCATTGTAGATCACTTGCTGTGACAGTGCTGGTTGGTATCTCTTGGACACCGTACATCTTGCGGGGTAGTGGACTCACGCGTGAAGGTGCTTAGCACTGTGTGTGAAACTATCGAGATATCAGCTGATGTGTCCGCCTTTTCGAGACTAATTTTTAATTGCTACGGGCATTAGTAGATTTAATGTAATATAATAGTTTTGGCGAGTTTATTGATGGTAATTTAATGATTGTCATAAAGGAGTAAATTTGGTAACAGTAATCATAATTGTATAGCACTAGGACGCATTGTACGGCATAGGGTTAGTCATATTATAATTGTGTTTATTATATTTGGTGGTATATAGCCTAAGGTGTGTCTTGGTCGGTGAGTTTTTGGTGTGTACAATTCCATTTAAAAAACAAAACGGTGAACGTACGTGTCCGGCCACTAGTTGTATTATTGATATTTGAGATTGTGTATCTGTTATTATTATTTTGATTATCTTGGTGTAACTTCGATATGGAGAAATTAATAGAGTCGGGTTCTAAGCTTGGGTTGGAAGGTAAAAATTTGTTAGATTTTGTAACTCAACAGCAGAATATAGAGCGCGAAGAAAGACAGAGAGAACGTGAGTTCAAAAGGGTAGAGATTGAGAGAGGGCTTGAAGAGAAAAAGAAGGCTATGCAGCTTGAAGCTGATAGAAAAAGACAGCAGGCTGAGTTTGAAGAAAATGAAGCTCAGCGAAAACATGAGTTAGAAATGAAACAACTTGAGTTAAAAGGTGCTCTAAGTAGAAGCCCTGATAGTAGGTACACTGATTTAGCAAAATCACCTAAGCTTCCTGCTTTTGTTGATGGGAAGGATGAGTTGGATAGCTATTTGTTGCGTTTTGAGCGTTTTGCCGCAAGCAATGAGTGGGATAAATCCAAATGGGCTACGTCATTAAGTGCGTTGTTAACTGGTAAAGCTTTAGATGTATATTCTAGGCTTTCAGATATGGCAGCATCCGATTATGGGTTGGTTAAAGAAGCTTTGCTAAAAAGATATGAATTGACGGAGGAGGGCTATAGATTGAGGTTTATGAATTTCAAGCCCGAGAATGGTGAGAGTTGTGATCAATGTATAGTCAGGCTGAAAAATTACTTTTTTAAGTGGGTTGAGTTGTCTGGTACGGATAGGTCATTTAATGGTGTATGTGACTTGATGATTAAGCAACGGTTTATTGATTCTTGTCCCAGGGGATGTATCCATACGCATGCGCGAGAAGCAGCCTAGAACTCTTGATGAGTTGGCTAAGTATGCTGACCGTTACTTAATTGCTCATGACAGGAAGTTGACCTCCCCTTGCGACTTCCCATGTATAAAATCTCAGATGCCGGGTGGTCAGGAAATCAATTCTGATGTTCAGTGTTATAAATGCAAAGAGTATGGTCATATGTCTCGAGAGTGCAAAGTGAGGCCTTCACAGGGTTACGGGGTCAGATGTTATAATTGTGGCCGTTTGGGACACAGATCTGTTACATGTCGATTTTCAACAAGGTTTGGTGATAGGCCTAATGTGAGAAAAGTCGGTGCTGCTGTGGTTGATTTAGGTGGTGATGCAGAACAGGAAGGTGAAATTAGTGCAGTATGTTTAGTGCAACCCAAGTTCACAACCAAGGCTGATATTGAATCTTGTATTGATGGTGGCGAGCTTTTGTTGGCTGGCGGAAAGAGAATACCACTAGTCCATAATGCCTGTTTCCAACAATCTGTTAAATCTAAAACCAAAATGCCTGTGGTAAAAGGAAGGATTGGAGAGAAAGTAGTTACCACATTGAGGGACACTGGCTGTAGTGGTGTGGTAGTAAAAAGAGATTTTGTTAGTGACAACCAGTACACTGGAAAGTTTTGTTGTATGCTCATGATAGATAATACTGCACGTACTGTACCTATAGCTAAGCTTTATGTAGACACCCCGTATTTCACTGGTGAGGTGGAGGCACAGTGTTTGCCTGATGCTATTTATGATCTAGTCATTGGTAATGTTGAAGGAGCCAGGGCACCAGATGATCCTGACCCACAATGGCAAGAAATGTGTGCAGTGGCTACTCGTGCTATGGCTAAGAAAGGTAACAAAATAGTCCCTCTGTGTGTACCTGATGGGGGTAAGTCATTAGATGTAAGTAAGGCTCAGCTAGTAAAATTGCAGCATGACGATCCATCTCTCAGTAAATATTGGTCCTTGAAGGAACCTAAGTTTAAAGGTAACCAGGAAGTTATGTTTCTGGAGAAAGGCGGTATACTATACAGACAGTTTACTCATCCTCATGTGAATCAGGGTAGGCCTGTTAAGCAGATGGTTGTACCTATGCCATTGCGTAACCAGGTCATGATGGTGGCGCATGATTCGATAACGGGAGGGCATATGGGCGTAAAGAAAACTAGTGATAGAGTCCTGAGCAATTTCTACTGGCCAGGAATACATGGTGACATAACAAGATTCTGTAGATCTTGTGATATTTGCCAGAGAACGGTACCTAAACGTAAAATTGCAAAAGTCCCCCTTCAGAAGATGCCACTGATAGATGTGCCGTTCAAAAGGGTTGCTATTGATTTAGTTGGTCCTATTCACCCTCCTAGTGAAAAAGGTCATAAGTACATCTTGACATTAGTAGACTATGCTACCAGGTATCCAGAGGCAATACCCCTGAAACATATCAGTACAGAGGATGTAGCTGAAGCACTGGTTGATATGTACAGTCGCCTAGGTATACCAGAGGAGATTCTACATGACATGGGAACTCAGTTCGTGTCAGAGTGTATGTGTGAAGTTTCTCGTCTGTTGAGTATTAGACAACTGTCAACCACCCCTTATCATCCAATGTGTAATGGGCTGGTTGAAAAGTTTAATGGTACGTTAAAAGCAATGTTGAAGCGTTTGTGCAGTGAGCAGCCAAAGCAGTGGCACCGCTACATCAATGCATTGTTATTCGCCTATAGAGAAGTGCCCCAAGAATCAACAGGTTTTGCTCCATTTGAGCTGATGTATGGGAGGACTATCAGAGGTCCTATGCATATTTTGAAGCAACTCTGGACGACAGAGACTGAGGAACCAGAAATTAGAAACAGTTATCAGTATGTGTTTGAGTTAAGAGAGCGCTTGGACGAAACACTGAAAATTGCACAGGTAGAGATGCAGAAATCCCAGCAACGGTACAAGCACTACTATGATAGGAAGGTGAAAGTCAGAAGGTTTCAACCTGGACAAACGGTTCTTATTCTACTACCAACTGATAGTAACAAGTTATTAATGCAGTGGAAGGGGCCATATGAAATTGATAGTGTGATTGGTGTAAATGACTATAGAGTAAAGGTACGTGGACAGTACAAAACTTATCATGCTAACTTGCTGACGAAGTATATTCAACGAAATGAGCAGAGTAGTGAAGCTGCTGACAATCTGCCTGTCTTGGGCATTGCTAGTGCAGCTGTCATAGAGTATGAAGAGTCTTTAGATGAAGACGCTGTACAGGATGATGACTTGTTGGTGCTGAATTCTTGCATGTCAAAGGAGTCAGTAGCTGACGTGAAGTATGGCAGGAACCTGACTCATGATCAGGAGCAATCAGTTCGCTGTCTAGTGCACGAGTATAAGCACATATTTACAGACCTACCTGGCACTACCAACCTTATCCAGCATCGTATTCAACTGAGAACCGATGAACCTATAAGATCGAGGCCTTACCCGGTGCCATATAGTGTACGAGAGTCTTTGAAAGAGGACATTCAAAGTATGTTGAAGATGGGAGTTATAAGAGAAACCGAATCCCCATACGCATCACCTGTCGTGATAGTACGCAAAAAAGATGGATCGAATCGTATATGTATTGACTACCGAAAACTAAACAAGGTAACAGTGTTTGATCCAGAGCCAATGGTGACGGCAGATGATATGTTCCAATATCTCAGTAAAGACAAGTACTTTACTAAGGTGGATCTTAGTAAGGGGTTTTGGCAGGTTCCTGTGGCGGGGGAGGACATACACAAAACAGCTTTTGTTACCCCAGATGGTACCTACGAGTTTTTGAAAATGCCATTCGGAATGATGAATTCTGGTGCAACCCTGGTCCGTGGTGTCAGAAAGATGTTGAGTGGGATGTGTAAGGTGGTTAGTTATGTTGACGATATTTTGGTTCACACCATCACTTGGTGTGAACATATAACTACACTCAAAGAGTTGTTCAGCAGGATGGCTGATGCTCAGCTTACTGCTAGACCATCCAAGTGCATAATAGCTTCTGATGTTATTGATTTCGTCGGTCATCGAGTTGGTCAGGGTTTTCTGAGTCCACACGAGGATAATGTAAAAAAGGTTAGAAATGTTCCTCGGCCCATGACTAAGAAGGAAGTCAGGTCGTTTCTTGGTCTAACTGGATTTTACAGGGAGTATATACCTAACTATGCAGCTATTGCAGTACCATTAACTGATTTAACAAAGAATGGCCAACCCATCAAAGTTGTGTGGGGAGAAGCACAAGAGAAGGCTTACCGAACTCTTATCCATATAATAACCAGTAAACCTATATTGAGGTTGCATGATTCACACAAGCCTTACGTGTTACGTACAGATGCTTCTGATATTGGGATTGCATCAGTCCTGTTACAAGGTCATGATGGAAAGTTATTCCCTGTGAGTTATGCTAGCAAGAAGTTGTCACAAAGAGAAAAGGCATATTCGACTATCGAAAAGGAATGCTTGGCGATCGTGTGGTCTGTAAAGAAGTATATGATGTATTTGTATGGAACCCAGTTCATTCTCCAGACAGACCATCAGCCGTTATTGTATGTTGACAAGGCTAAATTCATCAACGACAAAGTAATGCGATGGGCAATGTTTCTGCAGAACTACCGATTTACCGTTGAATGTATTAAGGGCTCAGATAACCATGGAGCTGATTTTCTAAGTAGAGCAGTTTAAGGACTATGTAACAGAATTCATGTGCTGTGCAGAAACTTTATAAGTTTCCTCTTGAAAGGGGAGTGATGTCATGAATTCTTATTATTTATTCTTACATTAATTTGCATAAGTGGTTTTACGAAGTGCGCCCTCTGTGGCAGGAGGAAAACACTCAGGCGGTGGCTAAGATTGCGGAGTAGCTAGCGAGGACTGATGGTGAGTGATCTGTCGTGCTGGTTTTGTTATAGCGTTCTGTGACCATATAGGGGCTCTTCCCGGGAGCTTGTTTTCTGTGTTATAAGGGAATCCTGTGGTATTTTATTTCTGTTTTCTGAAATTCCAGTGCGGAGTTTAAGCCAAGAAATTTTGAGGAAAATTGGGAACCATGGCTCTTGCCCCCCCCCCCCCCCCCGAGGTATAGATAGCAAAAAAAAATTATCATGTTCTTCAGGCGATAATTTGATCATTGTAGATCACTTGCTGTGACAGTGCTGGTTGGTATCTCTTGGACACCGTACATCTTGCGGGGTAGTGGACTCACGTGTGAAGGTGCTTAGCACTGTGTGTGAAACTATTGAGATATCAGCTGATGTGTCCGCCTTTTCGACACTAATTTCTAATTGCTACGGGAATTAGTAGATTTAATGTAATATAATAGTTTTGGCGAGTTTATTGATGGTAATTTAACGATTGTCATAAAGGAGTAAATTTGGTAACAATAATCATAATTGTATAGCACTAGGACGCATTGTACGGCATAGGATTAGTCATATTATAATTGTGTTTATTATATTTGGTGATATATAGCCTAAGGTGTGTCTTGGTCGGTGAGTTTTTGGTGTGTACAATTCCATTTAAAAAAAAACGGTGAACGTACGTGTCCGGCCACTAGTAGTATTATTGATATTTGAGATTGTGTATCTGTTATTATTATTTTGATTATCTTGGTGTAACTTCGATATGGAGAAATTAATAGAGTCGGGTTCTAAGCTTGGGTTGGAAGGTAAAGATTTGTTAGATTTTGTAACTCAACAGCAGAATATAGAGCGCGAAGAAAGACAAAGAGAACGTGAGTTCAAAAGGGTAGAGATTGAGAGAGGGCTTGAAGAGAAAAAGAAGGCTATGCAGCTTGAAGCTGATAGAAAAGGACAGTAGGCTGAGTTTGAAGAAAATGAAGCTCAGCGAAAACATGAGTTAGAAATGAAACAACTTGAGTTAAAAGGTGCTCTAAGTAGAAACCCTGATAGTAGGTACACTGATTTAGTAAAATCACCTAAGCTTCCTGCTTTTGTTGATGGGAAGGATGAGTTGGATAGCTATTTGTTGCGTTTTGAGCGTTTTGCTGCAAGCAATGAGTGGGATAAATCCAAATGGGCTACGTCATTAAGTGCGTTGTTAACTGGTAAAGCTTTAGATGTATATTCTAGGCTTTCAGATATGGCAGCATCCGATTATGGGTTGGTTAAAGAAGCTTTGCTAAAAAGATATGAATTGACGGAGGAGGGCTATAGATTGAGGTTTATGAATTTCAAGCCCGAGAATGGTGAGAGTTGTGATCAGTGTATAGTCAGGCTGAAAAATTACTTTCTTAAGTGGATTGAGTTGTCTGGTACGGATAGGTCATTTAATGGTGTATGTGACTTGCTAATTAAGCAACGGTTTATTGATTCTTGTCCCCCAGGTATGTATCCATACGT